ACGGCACATAACAACAATAACAACAGAGCTTTCTTAGATTATGTTCTATTCCTGTTCCTTAAACAATGAACAGGGCGTTTGTGTTTTGAATCACATAACAAAGCTGTTGTTTATCTGGAAGAGAAATAAAGATTCAGACACAGCTTTTGACTGCTAACAAGCACAAACAATTTACTTCTTCTTACAATTGGACTTGCCAAAGTATTTCTGGTCTTTTATGTCAGGCACTAACCAGTTTGATCCACTAAATTCTAACAGCAGCACAAATTAGGGCTTAATCAATGTTTGTTGAGTGGTCGAGTGACTACATAAGAGTTTAGAGCTTGAAAGGAATTTGGATTCTAAATAGAACTAGTAAACCTGTTAGTGGAATTGCTCTCCCCATTTGTAAATCTGAGAATATTATGTATAACTGGCTCTAAGTCAAGGACAGTAGGCTTATTGAAAAGGTCCTTTCATGTTAATTAAAAACGCACACATTATGCACGATTCAAACTCATTTTGCATGAGTACTTTCAAATTTAATGTGCCATTGAATCTTTGCTGTCAGATAAAGTGACTTTCATCTCAGTCCAGTAAAATCCAAGGATAATGATTTATAAACTTCTTCAAATTTTATTTTGGGCCTAGAATGTTTGTTCTTTTCTTTAAAATTGTAATAATTCCCTAAATTCAGCTTGCCTAGAAATGTCCTCAGAGTTGACCACCTGATATTGCTGAGCTCTTGATTTTTGCTTAAACAATGAATTTCAAAGTAATATTCATGATAATAACAGTGATATAGTTGTTATTGTTATATGCCATGAAATCACTTGTGACTCATCACGACCCAATGTACAACAGAACCCTGCTCTATCTGGAGGCAACCTCTTCATCTCTGATATACCCACCTGTTGTCCTAATCACTGAGTCCATCCAGCTCATTGAGGGTCTTCCTCTCTTGTGCTGTCCCTTCACCCTCCCAAGCATGACGTCCTTCTCCAAGGACTGGTCCCGCTTTGCAACATGTCCAAAGTATGGACCTGTTCTCCATGATGAACCTGTTTGTTCTCTTGGCAGCTCATGGTATATTCAATACTCCAGCACCACAGCTCAAAGGCATCAATTCTCTGTCTATCATCCCTAGTCATTGTCCAGCTTTCTGATCCATAGCAAGTGATTGTAAACACCATGGCCTGGATAACGTGTACCTTAGTCTCTAGACTGTCATCGTTGTTATTCACTACTGTGGAGAGATCTCTGATAGCAGACTTTCCCAATGCAATTCATCTTTTGATTTCCTGGTTACCGGTACTGAGTGTTGACTGTGGAGCCAAGCAAACTAAAGCTGTGAACAATCTTAATCTCTTCACCATCCATCATGGTGCTCCCAATGTTGAGCTTCAATTCATATTGAAGGCTCCAGTCCTTGACCTACTGCAGCAAATGCCTCAAGGTTCTCCTCAGTTTCAGCAAGCAAGGTTGTGTCATCTGAATAGTGCAGGTTGTTGATGTGTCTTCCTCCGATCCTGATAGAGCCCACCTCCGGGATGATCTGTTCTGCATATAAACAGAACAGGTATAGAGATAGGATGCATTCCTGGCATATACCTTCCTGATTTTGAACCATGTAGTGTTTCCTTGTTCTGTTCGAAGAATAGGTTTTGTATAAGGACAGTCAAGTGTGCTGAGAGTCTCATTCTTCTCAGAGTTAGCCATAGTTTGTTGTGATCCACATCATCAAACACCTTTGCATGGTCACAACAACAAAATATTATTAAATTATTTTGATTCTAAAACCTCAAAGCTTGACAATTTGTGTAAGGTTGGAATCTGGGTCAGCTTGAATTTCAGCTGAACTGGTTTATCCATCTTAAGGGATTAGCTTCTAAGAGAATTCCTGACTGTTTTATTTATTTTAAATTGCTGACTGATTTAAAAGGAAAAGGGTTTTAAGATATTTCCCTTAAGTTGTACACAGTCTAAAGAAAATGGTTTCAATAAGAGAAAGAAAGAAGTCTGAAATTATGCACACACACTGCAAATGTTAAAGGCCTGAAAACATAGATGAATTTAGAACAAATCATGCAAAGTGACACGTAAATCAATCACACAAGGACAATTACTATAAGAAATTATTAGCAGGTTAGAGAAGGAAAGGTTTACATACAGGCTCAACCTTCAATGGTTAACAGGCATGGGAAAGGAGGAGGGAGGGGAATCAAAGTTAGTAACAGTGAAGTCAGGCAGAGTAAAAGTCAATATACAATATGGGTTTGATCAGGGACTATAATTACATAAATCAATTATAATGAATTCCATAATTCAAAATATAGATGGACGATTCCATTAAAACCCAGTATGATTGGAAAATTTTCACTTAAATAAGAAGAAATAAATCAGAGTAAAATAATGACAGCCTGTGGAGAGGACAGAAGCAGACCTTCTTCATTCTCTTTCTCATCAGTTTCCTATTTCTTTGATGGTTGCCAAGTGAGAACCCTTTTCTGAATCTTTCTTCAAATCATTTAGATTTTTTAACAAAAAGAACAGCAAGAGTTTTTGAGGTAGTGCACTGCTGCCTTGGCCAGTCATGTGGAAGTACAAGCAGATCTAAGTTCTTATTTATAAACTCAGGGTGTATGACAGTGAGCTTTGGGAGCCTAGTGGTAAGAAGCTGCCCTGCAGTCCCAAAAGCTCATGGTTCAAATAAACAGTTTACTCCACGGGGGAAGGATGCATGTGCAATCTCCTCCTGTGACATTTACTGCCTCTGAAAACCCGCTGGAGGATCAGCTATGGGTTGATTCTGACTCAAAGACACACAACAACAACAACAACAACAACACAACAAATGACATATTCTGGGAGTAACTTCCAAGTAAGCATAGAAGTAGTAACAGGTTTAGCAAGCAAGTTGGGCTTGACTTTATAATGTCAAATGGAATATTATGACCCAAGCAGATATGGTGTTTAATAAGGAGATTGTGAGCCACTCTGGTTCTTTATTGTGCCAAATTTAAAGTGCCACTTGTTAGATCATCCTTGGTCATAG